ATGAGACAACGGAGGGCGGGGACGTGACAGGGAACACAATGGGACAACGGATGCGGAGGACGTGACAGGGAACATTAGGAACAGTGGAGTAACAATAAGGAGCGTGTTGCAGAACATATGTGTTCGCGCTGAGTCCCTAATGTTATACAACAAGACAGACAGACAGCAAATATACAGCTTACCAGCACTACACCACCTCCGGGTGGTCCCAACAACTCTCCTGGTGGAGTCAGCTTAAGATGGCGACTCCCCTGGTGTCGTCAGCTTAACATGACGACTTTCCGTTGTCAGCTTAAGGACGACTGGTGTCGTCAGCTTAACATGACAACTCCCCTGGTGTCGTCAGCTTAACATGACGACTCCCCTGGTGTCGTCAGCTTAACATGACGACTCCCCTGGTGTCGTCAGCTTAACATGACGACTCCCCTGGTGTCGTCAGCTTAACATGACGACTCCCCTGGTGTCGTCAGCTTAACATGACGACTCCCCTGGTGTCGTCAGCTTAACATGACGACTCCCCTGGTGTCGTCAGCTTAACATGACGACTCCCCTGGTGTCGTCAGCTTAACATGACGACTCCCCTGGTGTCGTCAGCTTAACATGACGACTCCCCTGGCGTCGTCAGCTTAACATGACGACTCCCCTGGTGTCGTCAGCTTAACATGACGACTCCCCTGGTGTTGTCAGCTTAACATGACGACTCCCCTGGTGTCGTCAGCTTAAGGTGACGACTCCCCTGGTGTCGTCAGCTTAACATGACGACTCCCCTGGTGTCGTCAGCTTAACATGACGACTCCCCTGGTGTCGTCAGCTTAACATGACGACTCCCCTGGTGGAGTCAGCTTAACATGACGACTCCCCTGGTGTCGTCAGCTTAACATGACGACTCCCCTGGTGTCGTCAGCTTAACATGACGACTCCCCTGGTGGAGTCAGCTTAACATGACGACTCCCCTGGTGGAGTCAGCTTAAGATGGCGACTCCCCTGGTGTTGTCAGCTTAACATGACTGTGAATGAATGAAGATTCCCTCAGCTAGTTTTTCTAGTTTCTAGATTAGGCTAGAGTCGCTCTAGGGACTCTAGACAAGAAGTTTTCAAACTAACATGCACTTGTGTGGTGTTGGATGAAAGCTGATGTTTAGGACTGTCGTTTAAGACTAACTAGAGGTCTGTGATCGCTCTGTAGAGAGTTACAGAAGTTTTCCTGTTTCTGTGAAATAGGATGAGAGTTGAGAGTGAAGTGGTATGAGAGGATATTTGACTCTCAACGGTTTTAGAGGTGGGGGGACACCTCTAAATAAGTGTAATATATTCTATCTTGAGGTTATCTTGAGATGATTTCGGGGCTTTTTAGTGTCCCCGCGGCCCGGTCCTCGACCAGGCCTCCACCCCCAGGAAGCAGCCCGTGACAGCTGACTAACACCCAGGTACCTATTTTACTGCTAGGTAACAGGGGCATAGGGTGAAAGAAACTCTGCCCATTGTTTCTCGCCGGCGCCTGGGATCGAACCCAGGACCACAGAATCAAGTCCAGCGTGCTGTCCGCTCGGCCGACCGGCTCCCTAGAGGAATTCACTTTTTTCTTCACCTTGAAATAAGTGGGAAGTTTAATTTGACGAAGCCAAATGCCTCGTCATCTAATTAGTGACGCGCATGAATGGATTAACGAGATTCCCACTGTCCCTATCTACTATATTCTATACTATATTCTATATTCTACTATATTAATCATATCCTGTCTGATGACAGTGGATTAAGATGCACTTATGTTAATTAGGGGAGTAATTAACTCCTCTCCCGTGAATTCACAGTGTTTGATGAGACCTGCTTAGGCAGTGAGGAGTGAGACGTATTTATGTATGATTAATTATCGGTCCTGGTGACAGTTAATAAACTGCTCAGGGTTAATTAGGGTAATTAACACTCATTAAAGTAAATTTTGACATAGACTGTTGAGAAGCTACCAAGTTAGTGGTAGGCTTAGTTAACATAACTCGACGGGGATGTAATTAGTGGTCCGTTTGACCTTAATTAGGAATTACTCACTGAATACTTGCAAGGAATCAAGTGTGATGTAATGTAAGAGTCTTGAGTTATTGGTAACAAGATGACTTGTGTTAAGAGAGACAAGTGTTAATGATTAACGTAGAGTACTATCATGCTGTTGTCTAAGAGACAAGTCTTTGTGATTAACGTAGTACTTTGTTGCTGACTGCTGTGATCAGGCAATTAACGTAATTAATCACATAATCAATTTTGTAATTGATTAAGGCAATTTTCTTTTGTTTATCGTCTGGTGACGAGAGTAAAGTAACTTAGGGATTACTGGAGCCGTGTCTCAGAATCCCACCTTGCCTGGCTTTGTTTACTGGTTACAGTGCAACTCCTTGCAGGGGGTTGCAAAGAGTGTTCACATTAGGTTGTGATAGGGGGAGTCACTGTTGGACTACCCGCCTAGTTACGGGGGTCTCTCCTGTTATGGTTGGAGGACCCTTAAGATTGTGATTATAGTATCTGTTCACCGTGAAGCAGTGACAATATTGATTGCAAGCTTGTGTCATCAGTGGGCATCCATCATTGTTCAGTTAGTTCACTGGTCCGCCCGAAGTGTCAGCAAGATGGAGACTGCTGTCATTTCTCGAGGGGCTGCTGAATAGCTGTGTTGAAATTGCCACTGGATAGACATTAACGTAACGAGTCACTCTCTGTAATGTAACTTAGTCTGTGATATATTTTTTTGATTTGCAATATTGTGTCATCAGTGGGCACACCTGTGTTCAGGTTAGTTCAGTATGCAGCCGCACAGCAAGGGTTGCTATTTAGCTGTTGGTTATAGTGCCACTGGATGGACATTAACGTAGTGTAAACTCGATGTTGTAGTAGTTTAGTCTCTTGTTATTAATAAATTGTTTATTTTATAGAAAACGGTCTTTGATGTCAACCCTTCAACCATTCTTTTCCACCCATGTTCTGCTTTATACGATTGAATGTTGATGTGATCTTTTGATATGACGGCTGTTCTTGGGAATTCGAATTTCAATTCATAGCGCCACATCAAATATAAATATTTGATTGTGAGAACCCGTCGGTTACCCTTTATTAGTTTTAACGTCCTGTTTAACTAGGAGGAGCCAGCGGCCTATTGTGGACAGGTTTTCACCCCTAGTGGTGGAGGCCTGGCGGTTTGCTCCCGCTTTTCCTTTTTCTATTGGACTCATGCTTAACTGCCGTGAGCAGCCTTTAAACTTGTAGTCCACCTCCTAAGGGAGGTAGGCGTAGAAAAAAATTTCACAATGACGACTCCCCTGGTGTTGTCAGCTTAAGATGACGACTCCCCTGTTGTCGTCAGCTTAACATGACGACTCCCCTGGTGTCGTCAGCTTAACATGACGACTCCCCTGGTGTCGTCAGCTTAACATGACGACTCCCCTGGTGTCGTCAGCTTAACATGACGACTCCCCTGGTGTCGTCAGCTTAAGATGACGACTCCCCTGGTGTTGTCAGCTTAACATGACGACTCCCCTGGTGTCGTCAGCTTAAGATGACGACTCCCCTGGTGTCGTCAGCTTAACATGACGACTCCCCTGGTGTCGTCAGCTTAAGGTGACGACTCTCCTGGTGGTGTCAGCTTAAGATGACGACTCTCCTGGTGGTGTCAGCTTAAGATGACGACTCTCCTGGTGGTGTCAGCTTAAGATGACGACTCTCCTGGTGGTGTCAGCTTAAGATGACGACTCTCCTGGTGGTGTCAGCTTAAGATGACGACTCCCCTGGTGTCGTCAGCTTAACATGACGACTCCCCTGGTGTTGTCAGCTTAACATGACGACTCCCCTGGTGTCGTCAGCTCAAGGTGACGACTCCCCTGGTGTTGTCAGCTTAACATCACGACTCCCCTGGTGTCGTCAGCTTAACATGACTCCCCTGGTGTCGTCAGCTTAACATGACTCCCCTGGTGTTGTCAGCTTAACATGACGACTCCCCTGGTGTCGTCAGCTTAACATGACTCCCCTGGTGTTGTCAGCTTAACATGACGACTCCCCTGGTGTCGTCAGCTTAAGATGACGACTCCCCTGGTGTTGTCAGCTTAACATGACGACTCCCCTGGTGTCGTCAGCTTAAGATGACGACTCCCCTGGTGTTGTCAGCTTAACATGACGACTCCCCTGGTGTCGTCAGCTTAAGATGACGACTCCCCTGGTGTTGTCAGCTTAACATGACGACTCCCCTGGTGTCGTCAGCTTAAGGTGACGACTCCCCTGGTGTTGTCAGCTTAAGGTGACGACTCCCCTGGTGTTGTCAGCTTAACATCACGACTCCCCTGGTGTCGTCAGCTTAAGATGACGACTCCCCTGGCGTCGTCAGCTTAAGATGACGACTCCCCTGGTGTTGTCAGCTTAAGGTGACGACTCCCCTGGCGTCGTCAGCTTAACATGACGACTCCCCTGGTGTCGTCAGCTTAAGATGACGACTCTCCTGGTGGTGTCAGCTTAAGATGACGACTCTCCTGGTGGTGTCAGCTTAAGATGACGACTCTCCTGGTGGTGTCAGCTTAAGATGACGACTCCCCTGGTGTCGTCAGCTTAACATGACTCCCCTGGTGTTGTCAGCTTAACATGACGACTCCCCTGGTGTTGTCAGCTTAAGGTGACGACTCCCCTGGTGTCGTCAGCTTAAGGTGACGACTCCCCTGGTGTTGTCAGCTTAAGGTGACGACTCCCCTGGTGTTGTCAGCTTAAGGTGACGACTCCCCTGGTGTTGTCAGCTTAAGGTGACGACTTCCCTGGTGTCGTCAGCTTAAGGTGACGACTCCCCTGGTGTCGTCAGCTTAAGGTGACGACTCCCCTGGTGTTGTCAGCTTAAGGTGACGACTCCCCTGGTGTCGTCAGCTTAAGGTGACGACTCCCCTGGTGTTGTCAGCTTTAGGTGACGACTCCCCTGGTGTCGTCAGCTTAAGATGGTATCAAGAAACTAATTCAACTTTAACAGACATTTCACTCACCAGCTTCAGTTCATCATTGATTGTTTGCTCGAACTTGAACTTTGGAAGTTTAAGGATGACTTTCTGTGTTCTGAGTTTGGTGAGAGCATCCGTGAAGGTGTTGTGTGAGAGGCGTCGCAACATGGCGTCCAGGGGCGTTGTGGCGTCGTCGCTGGCCGTGGTGTGAGGCAGGAACACCAACATGGACGCCGCCTTCCCCTTGTACGGCATCTCCAGCACCGTCGCTCCCAGCTGACTCGAGTCACCTGCGTCAAACAAACAACTGGTGTTCAGACTGTCCGCCACATCGTGCTAGCATCACGCTGGCATTATCTTCGCAAATGGTTAGATAACAAAGTAACTGTCTAACATTAAATAACAGGGAGGTCTGTCATATACAGAACAGCTTTCAGATCTTCACACACTAAGACGGGGTACCAAGTGTGCAAAATAAATACTGGTTGGCATGGTAAGAATTGCAGATGAGAGACAAGAAAAAAACAGAGGGAAATAGATGCGATAAAAGACTATCAGAAACCTGCAGAAGAATTTTGTTATCAGCTAACTAAATTTTTCAAAAAGATTACATGAGACAAGAGATCTCACAAAAATCTGGAAAAAGACAAACGATGTGTGTAAATGGAAATAGACGAGAAGCGTCATGTTATAGATATAATGAATCGTCAATCCCTCATAAGATCCAACTCATTCAGTGTCAAAGTAATCCCACACACACCTATATTGGCCCTTGGCTTTAACTGATATATATTTAGTAGAGCACATATAGGTAGGTTGCAACGGATATAAGTATATATCATTCATTTTCTTGCCCTCTAAAGTTGGAAGATGACGAGGAGTCTTTTGGTTTAAAGTGAGTTCCCTCATGTGTCTCACCAGGTGACTGGTGTGTGTTGTGTATCAACTCCTTTATGTGTCTCATCAGGTGACTGGTGTGTGTTGTGTATCAACTCCTTCATGTGTCTCATCAGGTGACTGGTGTGTGTTGTGTATCAACTCCTTCATGTGTCTCACCAGGTGACTGGTGTGTGTTGTGTATCAACTCCTTCATGTGTCTCATCAGGTGACTGGTGTGTGTTGTGTATCAACTCCTTCATGTGTCTCATCAGGTGACTGGTGTGTGTTGTGTATCAACTCCCTCATGTGTCTCATCAGGTGACTGGTGTGTGTTGTGTATCAACTCCTTCATGTGTCTCACCAGGTGACTGGTGTGTGTTGTGTATCAACTCCCTCATGTGTCTCATCAGGTGATTGGTGTGTGTTGTGTACAACTCCCTCATGTGTCTCATCAGGTGACTTGTGTGAGTGGTGTATCAACTCCCTCATGTGTCTCATTAGGTGACTGGTGTGTGTTGTGTATCATCTCCCTCATGTGTCTCATCAGGTGACTGATGAATGTGGTGTATCAAGTCCCTCATGAGTCTCATCAAGTGACTTGTTTGTGTTGTGTATGAACTCCCTCATGTGTCTCATCAGGTAACTGGTGTGTGTGGTGTATGAACTCCCTCATGTGTCTCATCAGGTGACTGGTGTATGTGTGGTGTATCAACTCCCTCATGTGTCTCATCAGGTGACTGGTGTGTGTGTGGTATATCAACTCCCTCATGTGCCTCATCAGGTGACTGGTTTATGTGTGGTATATCAACTCCATCATGTGTCTCATCAGGTGACTGGTGTGTGTGGTGTATGAACTCCCTCATGTGTCTCATCAGGTGACTGGTGTGTGTGTGTGTGGTGTATCAACTCCCTCATGTGTCTCATCAGGTGACTGGTGTGTTGTGTATCCACTCCCTCATGTGTCTCATCAGGTTACTGGTGTGTGTGTGGTGTATCAACTCCCTCATGTGTCTCATCAGGTGACTGGTGTGTGTGTGGTGTATCAACTCCCTCATGTGTCTCATCAGGTGACTGGTGTGTGTGTGGTGTATCAACTCCCTCATGTGTCTCATCAGGTGACTGGTGTGTGTGTGGTATATCAACTCCCTCATGTGTCTCATCAGGTGACTGGTGTGTGTGATGTATCAACTCCCTCCAAGCAACAGCCTGGTGGACCAAACTCTCACAAGTCCGGCCAGGGCTTGGGGAGTAGAAGAACTCCCAGAACCCCATCAAGCAGGTATCCCTCACGTGTCTCATCAGGTCACTGATGTGGGTTGGTGTATCAACTCCCTCACATGTGTGTAATCAGGAGACTGGTGTGTTGGGTATCCACTCCCTCCTGCGTCTCGTCAGGTGACTGGTGTGTGTGGTGTATCAACTCCCTCCTGCGTCTCGTCAGGTGACTGGTGTGTGTGGTGTATCAACTCCCTCCTGCGTCTCGTCAGGTGACTGGTGTGTGTGGTGTATCAACTCACTCATGTGTCTCATCAGGTGTCTGGAGTGTGTTGGGTATCCAATCCCTCATGTGTCTCATTAGGTGACTGGTGTGTGTGGGGTATCCACACCCTCATGTGTCTAATCAGGTAATTGGTGTGTGTGGTGTATCCACACCCTCATGTGTCTCATAAGGTGATTGGTGTGTGTGGTGTACCAACTCCCTCCTGTGTCTCATCAGGTGACTGGTGTCTGTAGTGTATCAACTCCTTCATGTGTCTCATCTGCTGACTGGTGTGTGTGTTTTTGGTGTATCAACTCCCTCATGTGTCTCACCAGGTGACTGGTGTGTTGTGTATCCACTCCATCATGTGTCTCACCAGGTGACTGGTGTGTTGTGTATCCACTCCATCATGTGTCTCATCAGGTGACTGGAGTGTGTGGCGAACTAACTCCCTCATGCGTCTTATCAGGTGACTGGTGTGTGTGGTGTATCAACTCCCTCATATGTCTCATCAGGTAACTGGTGTGTTTCTTGTATCAACTCCCTCATATGTCTCATCAGGTAACTGGTGTGTTTCTTGTATCAACTCCCTCATATGCCTCATCAAATGACTGGTGTGTGTGGTGTATCAACTCCCTCATGTGTCTCATCATGTGACTGGTGTGGTGTATCAACACACTCATGTGTCCCATCAGGGTGACGGTGTGTGGTGTATCAACTCCCTCATGTGTCTCATCAGGTGACTGGTGTGGTGTATCAACACCCTCATGTGTCTCATCAGGGTGACGGTGTGTGTGGTGTATCAACTCCCTCATGTGTCTCATCAGGTGACGGTGTGTGTGGTGTATCAACTCCCTCATGTGTCTCATCAGGTGACTGGTGTGGTGTATCAACTCCCTCATGTGTCTCATCAGGTGACTGGTGTGGTGTATCAACTCCCTCATGTGTCTCATCAGGTGACGGTGTGTGTGGTGTATCAACTCCCTCATGTGTCTCATCAGGTGACTGGTGTGGTGTATCAACTCCCTCATGTGTCTCATCAGGTGACTGGTGTGGTGTATCAACTCCCTCATGTGTCTCATCAGGTGACAGGTGTGTGTGGTGTATCAACTCCCTCATGTGTCTCATCAGGTGACTGGTGTGTGTGGTGTATCAACTCTCTCGTGTGTCTCATCAGGAGGCTGGTGTGTTGTGTATCCACTCCCTCATGTGTCTCATTAGGTGACTGGTGTGGTGTATCAACTCCCTCATGTGTCTCATCAGGTGACGGTGTGTGTGGTGTATCAACTCCCTCATGTGTCTCATCAGGTGACTGGTGTGGTGTATCAACTCCCTCATGTGTCTCATCAGGTAACGGTGTGTGTGGTGTATCAACTCTCTCATGTGTCTCATCAGGGTGACGGTGTGTGTGGTGTATCAACTCCCTCATGTGTCTCATCAGGTGACGGTGTGTGTGGTGTATCAACACCCTCATGTGTCTCATCAGGTGACTGGTGTGGTGTATCAACTCCCTCATGTGTCCCATCAGGGTGACGGTGTGTGTGGTGCATCAATTCATCCATCCACCAACACAGACACACAGGATGAAGAGGATGTATTATTAGGGTAGGCATGGATGGATTATTTAACACGGGTGGTACACCCACATGGAGACGCATGTGGTAGCTGTGTCCCCTTGTGTCCGCACCCAAATGACCTACAGAGACATTAGAAAGAACTTTTTCAGCGTCAGAGTAGTTAGTAAATGGAATTCACTAGGAAGTGATGTGGTGGATGCTAACTCCATTCACAATTTCATATGTAGATATGATGAAGCTCGAGAAGCTCAGGAATCTGTACACCAGAAGATTGACGGTTGAAACGTGTGGCCAAGAGGCAAAGCTCATCCCCTTCAAACAAAATTAGGTGAGTACAATTATTTGACAACTAGGTGAATACAACTAGGTGACAACTAGGTGAGTACACACACTCACACGCATATACACACACACAAACACACACATAGTTGTCCTATAGTTGGGGCCCTGATAGCTGAGTGGACAGCGCTCTGGACTTGTAATTCTAATGTCCGGGCTCTATCCCCTGTGATGTCAGAAACAACTTGGCAGAGTTTCTTTCACCCTGATGCACCTATGCACCTGTTACCTAGCAGTAAATAGGTACCTGGGAGTTAAATAGCTGATACGGGCTGCTTCCTGGGGGTGCGTGTGGGGGGGGGTGTGGGATATTTGAGCTTGATTCTAATTAATTAATAATTAAAATAGTAAATTAAATTACGAAGGACCACCCACTTTTAAAGTAAAGAGGGAAACTGAGAATTTCAGATCATTAGATAAAATTCTAGAGAAAACCAGTGACTATGGATATAACTAGAAAACATGATCATAAGAATAATTAATGGGCTGTATTATTAAAGAAACAAACCTCAAACACCTACATTGGGGGGTTATTACTGGAGGTAAGTACGTCCAGGAATCAGTGTGGTTCGTTCACTAATTCAATTAATAATAATCTAATCCTATAAAGAATGCTGAATATAATATCATTCACATAAAGAAGAACATGAATATGAGCATAGTAATGAGTTACAGTAAATCACACATTAATATCAAACATTCTGAATACATCAAATTGCAAGGAAATGGATAAAAAGAAATAAGCCTTAGCTGGTAGCAGATTCCTTTAGATAACCATGGCAGTCCTCTTAATCTCCAAGTCTGGTACACTGACGGATGGTACGGTTAACATGGAGAAGACAGCATGAGGAATTCGTCTCTCGAGCTGCAAGATAAATAACTACCAGTAGCAATTGATTTAACTAATCAATTCATATTCAAATTATTAATATCTACAGATGGAATTCTAATCACCTGTTATTAGGTGTTATCCCGCTGCTTGACGAACAATCACCCCGCTATTATTAGACCTGTA